TTATCGAAGGGTTTGTTTGAGGACCCGGGTCCTTCTCTTGTCTGAAGTTGACGCCCTGTCAATATCCTAGCCCAACCCCAAATAGCAATTACGCCAATAATAATAAATCCATGCTACATCTGTCGTCGCGCAGTGGTCTTAGAAAAGGGTCCCCTTATCTGCTACATACAGTGGGTTGGATAAGCGAAAACCTGCTACTGCTGGCGCTTTAATTCTTTTTTCTTCCCCTGCACCTACTCTCCCCATTCCTGTTTTATTTAACCGATTGCTACCTCCAAGCCAGGTCGTCACTACTCATACTATTGCCCGCCAACGCACTCGTATGCCTCCGCGCAACGCACTCAAAATCGGGTGCTGGAACGTGCGCACTCTACTGGACCGGAACTCGAGTGAGCGCTTCGAGCGATGGAACTGGCGCACTACGACATCCATATTCCGGCGCTCAGCGAGACCGGGTTGGCTATGCAAGGTAACTTGCATGATGCTGGTGCGGGCTATACGTTCTACTGGGTGCGAAACGCCACCTCATCACCGCGTGAACGTGGGGTCGGACTTGCACTATCCGATCGCCGCAATGGCCAGGTGGTAGGTGAGCCCACTGGCATCAGTGTGCGACTGATGACTGTTTGCCTATGAATCGGAAGAGGAGTTGGCCACCTTCATAAGCACGTACGGTCCGACCATGTGTTATCCTGATGACACGCGTGATCAATTCTACACTCAGCTATCCTCCGTGATCCGGTCTGTGCCGAGGAGTGACCGACTATTTTTGCTGGGTGATTTCAACGCGCGCGTTGCGCTTGCTGTATCGGTGTAGACAGATGTTATCGGTCCGCATGGTATTGGTTCAGCGAATGCGAACGGTGACAGGCTGCTCTCACTGTGTGCCACTCACGGCCTGACGATCATGCACACTCGGTTTGCACTGAGTGCGAGTGATATAGCAATTTGGACGTACCCACGAAGTGGTCACGCGTACTTGCTCGACTATGTCATCATACATCAGCGTGACATGCGTGGGAAGCATATGACACGTACACTACGTAGAGCTGAGGATGATACTAATCACAAATTGTTACGGACTAGACCGTATATATATTCTCGTAACTCTGTGTATTACACTCCTGCCGTAAACCGGCGAGAATATAACCTTCTCCCCCAAAGAACTGTGGAGTAGAGGGTGGAACTGGAGAAGGCGATGGCTGCACGCCTGTGTGGTGTGGAAAGCATAGCCACAGTGGGTGACGTGTTGCGTTACATTCGTGACCAGGTGGCAGCTGCTGCCGAGGAGGCCATTGGAAGCGCGAACTGGAAGCAGCCCGCTTGTTTTGATGAGAACAATGCGATGAATGACGCATTGGTGTGTGAGAATAATACAGCACTTGCTGCACATGTGGTAGGCCCCAATGCCTTGGGGAAGAAAAGTCAGTTACGCAAAATTCGCCGGCGACTGACTCTTCATGTCCGGTATATTAAAAAGGATGATGGATGGAGAAAGCAAGGCAGATAGAATGCTACGCCGAACGCCGCCAACACAAGGAGTTCTTTGGCTCTTTGAAGGCGGTGTATGGGCTGAGGCTGGAGTCACTGTGGACGGTATTCGATGGTAGTTCATGCTCTGCCTGCACACAGACTGCAGACATAATGCAGATCGGTCGGAAACACTTTGACCGTGTTTTGAACAAAAGTTCACAAATCGACTGGACTGTGTTGCATGGGTTGCAACAACACTAGTTGAAGAGGTGTCTTGTCGACACACCTACTATGGATAAGACGCAGAGAGCATTTGCTCAGCTGCGAAACGGCAAATGTGCCGGTGCCGACGGAATCCCACCTGAATTATTGAAAAACGGTGGACCCGCTTTGGCGAATGTGCTGCACCAGTTAGTGCAACGCGTGTGGTTTGAGGAGGAGGTCCCTCCTGAGCTGAAAGATGCCTTTTGTGCTACCACTGTACAAGGGCCAAGGAAGCAAGAAATGTGCCACGAAATATCGTGCTATCAGCTTTCTGAGTTGTGTGGGCAAGATGATTGCCCGAATACTGCTCAACCGCCTCGTCAGTTAGGTTGTGGAACCGAACCTGGCAGAAGGGCAATGTGGATTCCTTTAGGCTCGCAAATTTATATATATGGTGTTTGCGACTCCTCAATTGCAGAAGTGCAGAGAAGGACATCAGCCGTTAGACTTTTTTTGATTTCACCAAAACATTTGCTACCGTGAAGCACAAAGCATTGCGGCTGTGTTGAGTAAGTTTGTAAGTTTGAAAGTAAGTTTGTAACTTTAATTGCATATTTGCACAGTGGTATGCGGGCGAAGGTGCAGCTGAGTGGAAAAACCTCGGATGGTTTTGCAATTGTCTATGGTCTGAAGCAAGGCTGTGTCTTAGCCCCTGCCCTGTTTAATATATATCTTCATGCAATGATGTCTTGTGCTTCTGATGCCGCTTGTGCTTTTGGTGTTCGTGTGGAGCACCGTATTGATGGTGGGTTGCTGAACATCCGTCGTTTCGATGCCAGAATTCTAGCCTATGAGACAACTATCCGTATGCTGTTGTTCGCTGACGACTGTGCATTGTTTACTTACAGCGCGAATGAGTTGCAGCATATGCCTAGTGTCTGGCTTCGAAAGCTCCCAAATTGGGGCTCACCATCAACACGAGCAAAACTGTCTGTCTCTCTCAGCCTTCATTGCAGGTGCAACCTTCAATATTGCGGCACATCAGCGTTGGCGATGAAGTACTGAAAACCGCATCCCGCTTCCGCTAGCTTGGGAGTGCGATTTCGACTGTGTATCGAAGGCAACGGCGGCATTCGGAAGTTAGAGTACAGAGTGTGGAACAACCATCAGCTTACCGTTGGCACAAAGTTGATGGTGTACAAATCCATGTGGCTGTCCGTTCTTCCATACGGCAGCAAATCAAGGACAATGTACCTATGAGAGGTGATATATTGTGCGGTTTCATCAACACTGTCTGCGACGGATTCTGCGCATCAGTTGGCGTGACAGACTTGCAGACACGGATGTGTTGCGTATGCAGTGGACTGCATACTTTTGTTAAGACACCTGAGGTGGCTCGGTCATGTGAGCCGTATGGATTCGACGCGGAGACCGGAACAACTATTATGTGGTCAGCTGAGTATTGGGAAGCGGCGTGTGGGGCATTCGAAGCTTCGTTAGCGGGACATGATTGAGATGAGTCTATCAAGTGCTAATGTTAATTTCAGTTGATGGGACTCGAAGGCGGTTGATCAACGTGCCTGGCGCTGTCCGATCACGCAGGCAATTGCCGAAGTGCATGAGAAAGCGATGATGCATATCGAGAAGTAGCGGCAGGTGCGGAAGCGACAGACGCCGACGGGTGTACTCCATCGAGGCTTTTGTTCACATGCTCTTTGAAAGGAAATAACACATTTGTACTGGCGCCACCCACGTAGAATTCGTGCAGTAAAGTCTCTCAGCAGCCCTGATAGTGGTATCAATCGAAGAAGCCCATTTTTTCTTGGGCGCTGTAACTGCTTCCACCCGCTAACGCTAGTGAGATCGCAGGCAGTTACGAACAAGATTAAGATTTGAGGGCTTCGGCTTTGCTCTCTCTTCGTCTTGATTTGGACTCCTTAGTTAGTGGTTCCCTCAGCTGGATGTAAAACTGGCACCTAGTGTTTGACATCCGATAACCGGTTTGGTCCTCCATAGGACTCATCAGATGAAGATAGCGTGAGCTGGGGGGATTTCGAGGCCTAGAGTGCGAAGGCTGGCGCCTAGTGTTTGACGGTTATCGCCGTGATCACTAGGCCATTGAGATCCGTAAACAGTGTTTGACACAGCTGTTAGAAGTCAAATGTTGGGTTTCGGAGTATCCACCTTGTGTCTTGGATTGCGACGCACAATGTCAGTTGTGGTGTGGGTTGACTGAAATTCTCTACTTCGCATAGAGTTCCAGTGATTGGAATAACAGAGGCTGGCTTCAAAATCGACTGAGACCACAACTGAGATTGCGTGTCGCAGTCCAAGACACAAGACGTAGGCTTCGAAAGTCAGCATTCAAGATTCGAGGTTCTTCTCATAAGGAAACAACGCGGTTTGGATAGAATGACGAATTATGTAAAAACCAAACACAGCACTGAAAAGGGGTGACCAGACAAGACTAATAAGGACCGAAATGGAGGGCTTGTAAACTTCCGTATTTTCCATTGCACTCCCCTGTTTCCTCTTCCACTATTTATTGTACATTTTTAATGAGCGGAACCGATCCATATGCCTTAGCATTTCGTTCCACCTTCTCGCATTGGTTCACTACGTGCACTTTCCTCGTGATTGTTCGGCGTTGTTGCATGGTCTCCGGCGTCCGGGATAGTTGCTAAATCGGATTGCGTTTCTTACGAAGGCACACGGTTAGCTTCAGATAATTGGAAGATTTAGAATTAACCGAAGTTCATGTTACTGTTTTCCTAGCTGACTGAGGTTCTCATTAGCCACTTTGTGTACTCTTTTCCAATAAAGAACAAATAAAGAACACGTCAGATACACACAGAGAAGGGAAATTAGTGGCGTTAACATCAGAGTGGAGCTGTGATATCCGCCCAGAAACAACAGCAGCGCTTCCTAGACAATGGTTTCAACGATATGGCACGTTAAAACAAGTGCCAGTGAATGAACGCAACAAAACGTAAACACACCTGAATTATTATCGCCCCTCTAGCGGTGCAATTACTCTTTATGTCGTTTCAAAATGCAACTTATAACACTTGATTATTTGTGCCCTGACATTTCATCATACCATATTGCAGTAATTCCAACATTTTTAAGGCAAGGTCTGTCCTGAACGTTAGATGAGTTAATAGGAATACAAAACTGGCTGTTAAAAACTGCTTGATAATCAGCGCTCAATAACTGGTCTTGGACACTTGAAGATTACCGCGGCAATCCGACATCACTCTGCGCATATTAGTAGGGAATATAAATACTCCCAATAGCCAATTCATTAGATCGATTTAGCTTACTCGGATAAACTCTTTTGTTTCATTACTTGCATCCGTCATTAACTGATCGAGCTCTTCTTTTGTATATCCATACACTCGGCTCGTGTATTCCGACCAGGTAACCACACCATCTTGATTTGCATCATGATCTTTTAGTTTCTCTTTTGAGCTCTCAAGGTCCAGTCGTCTGAAATGAGCATTAAATAATTCCATAATAGGCATTGTAACTTCGTAGGCTATCAGTGTAAGCACTACTTTTCAAAATAGCACTCACCGAAATGACGCGAGTGATCAGCAGTTTATGCACTCTTGAAGGCAGGATTGTCGGTCCAGCAAGCCTAACCAAAGGACCGTTAGATTTTTAACCCTCAATGTTATGACTGTGAAAAATAGTTCAGTATATATTCGTTTCACTAGACAGTGACTAAAGTAATGCAGATCGTGTCATGTGTGAATTGCATTGTCGCAATAGTACGGTCGTTGCATCCGCGTATGGTGGGTAACACCAGGTGGCATGCCCCGAGAATTATTCTGCTTGGCGTGTTGGAAATTTGAAGTATATAAAATACCGGCTAAGTGAAATATTCCTCATAAACTACTTGTATAGAAGATACGGTCATATTCCTCCAGTCCTCAGCGATTTGGTTGGTAATGATCTAATTAACACCATTGAATCAGTTTATTGCATAACAATAAGACACACTGGTATGATTAGAGCGTACCAATATACATGATGAAGAAGATCCCAATGTCAAGCGTATTAACTATCTCTAAATAATATGCATGCACTATTGGTTGCGTTTTCATCAACAGCAGCAATCAACTAACGCACACTAATCCTGTAATGCAATGCAAAGTGGTACATTAAGACCAAAAAGATGATGCTTGACAAGCCCCAGAGAATGGTTGCATTCATTGCCGGTGGTGTAGGGTTGCGTATTATAGTGCGTATTATAGTGTCACGTAAAATGCGTTCATATCCCAAGATTCGCTTAACAATCGTTCTACTAATAAAGTAACGTGTCAAAAAGCTAAAACACGCGGCAGTGGTACTACTACGGATTCGAGGAGACAAACGAAGTTTGGGTAACAACCGAAACATTTTCGCGAAGAAACCTAGGATAATTTATATCGTGCTTACGTTGGAAGCGCTACACTGTTGTCACAACTATTGCTTGATCAGTGCTCGTCATCGTGTCTTATATCGTCCACCTAAGGTCATTGTGTAGCGAAAACGACACGACAGGGGGGTAGACGTTTATTGCACACCGAAAATGGGCACATGAGGGTCTCGCGCGCGCCATCGAATATCGACTAGATTTCCGTCTCACAACGCAACACAGGTACGGATGTTAGAGACGAGCCAGTCCTTTCGCCTCGGGAGCTCTGACTTGGAAGATCAGCCTTCCTGTTTTCGCCTCGAACCCCACTTCTCTGTACCCGATTTGGATCGGCCAGGAGTCGTTCGAGAGCTCTCGACTTGCTTGTTCTGGACTGTGTCAATCGGCTCGGCGTCGGTCCTGTGGGCTGCGCTAGCGGCGTATTTGTCTGATTTATTGCGCTGTCCACATATTCCCGCTCCGTAGTTCCGGGCCCAGGCTCGTCGCTAGTCGTCCTTCTCGATCCGCTCTCAGCTAACTCCGAAGAGCTCCCCTGAGGCATTCTTGGAAGCGGCCCCTCTACACGCGCCCCTCCTCGAGGATCTTTCTTCCTCTCGTACCATGGTCGCAGGAGAGCAGCATTCACCCAACGTTTCATTCCTCCGCAGTCGATTAAGAAGTTGCCCGCTTTCTGGTCGATAATGGTGTAGGGGCCTTTCCAGCGTCCTCTGAACTTGCTTGCGCCCGGCCCGTCATGATCCGGCCGATCGTTGTTCCGTAACTTTATTTGTTCTCCAATCCTGAATGGCCTCCACTTGTAAGCCTCATGCCTGGCGTCGTAATTTCGCTTATTCCGCGCTTGTCGAGCTTTGGTTTCGCTTCTAGCTTTCCCTCGCAGTCGCTCTTGATGCCCAGCTGGATGTTCCCGCTCGCCCTGGTTCGGTAGGCAAGTATCGAGCGCAATCCGTGGTGCTCTGCCGAACAGTAATTCGAATGGCGAGACCTTGGTGGTTGATTGCATGCTGGTCCGATACGCGATCAGAACCTGAGGCAAAGCATCTTCCCATGCCAACTTCGTGCAGTTCATCCACGTCTTCAATGTCCGGTTGAACCGCTCGGTCATCCCGTTGGTTTGTGGGTGGTACGGTGAGGTTCGCCGTCTCTGGATGCCCCACTTGTCCAACACTGCCTTAAACGCTTTTGACTCGAAGCACGGCCCTTGGTCCGTGATTATACACTGTGGGATCCCATACCTTGCAGGCACATTGAATTCAAATACTTGCGACACTGTCTCGCCTGTTTGGTCTTTGATTGGTATGGCTTCCACCCATCGAGTGAAGTGGTCAATCATCACTAGAATGTATCTGTTTCCTGTTCGACTCACTGGTAAGGGCCCAAAGACGTCCAGTCCCCAACACTGAAGTGGCTCACCAACCTCCATCGATCGCATCGGCGGTCTCGGGGACTCCATCTCCCGACTCGTTTGGCAGTTTGGGCACCCCCGAATGTATGCCGCGACGTCCTTCCTCATGGTTGGCCAAAACACTCGCCTCCGCAGCAATTCAAAGACCCGCTCGAATCCCATATGGGCGCCATCATGAGTTATACGCATCACACGTTCTCGCTGATTTGGTGGAACAAAAGGCACTTTCCGTCCGTCTATCGCCACCACCACGTTATCGTTTTCGACCTTCAACCTGTCCCAGATCTTGAGGAGTTCCTCCACCTCTTCCGATGTGGCCTCCGGTTTGGTGCCAGCCTGTAAGTGAGAGCACAACACATTCACGAATTCATCTGTCCTATGATCTCCCAGCAGGTTCCTCTCCCCCATCGCGATCGCACACACCGGTATGGCATTGTCTGGCATGATGTCGTCCAAACACGGGCGTGATAACATATCTGGCAATACATTCTGCGTTCCATCCACGTGCTCAATGGTGAAGTTGAATTCCTGCAATCGGTAGGCCCATCGCGCAAGCCGTCCCCGCGGGTCTTTCGCCGTCATCAACCACGAGAGCGGTTTGTGGTCAGTGACGACCCGGAATTCATTCGCCAGTAAGTAATTTCTCCACTTCTCTAACGCCCACACGATGGCCAAGCATTCTTTCTCCGTTGTTGAATACTTCTGTTCCGCCCCCGTCAGCACTCTGCTCGCGTACTCCACCACCCCAGCCGGTTGAGACAAAACCGCACCGATGGCCACATTGCTTGCGTCGACAGCCACAGTGAACCTCTCACCAGGATTTGGTCGCCGTAGATATGTCGGGGCTTCTGCTATGCATGCCTTTAGATGCTCAAAGGCCTGATCCGCTTCAGCTGTCCACACGAAGGGCACGTCCTTGCGAAGCAGCTTTAACAACGGGCTGACCTTCTCTGCGAACTGGGGCACAAAGTTTGAATCATATGCCACCACTCCCAAGAACGAACGGAGCTGACGCTTGGATTTTGGTTTTGCGAAGCACTTGATCGTCTCGCGTTTCTCCGGAAGTGGATGGACTTGACCATTGCCCACGATGTGACCCAAGCATACGATTGACTTTTGGGCAATCTGCGACTTTTTACGACTGAGTTTCAGACCAGCTTCGTCTAGCCTCTGCAGTACTGCTCCAAGTCTGGTCACATGTTCCTGTTCCGTCTCAGAGAAGACGATGATGTCATCACCATACACAACCACGCCTTGCAGTTTCTCGAGGACCATCAGCAACAAACGCCTGAATGTAGCCGGGGCGTTGCGCAATCCAAACGGCATTCTCAAAAACTCATACTGCTGGCCATTGACACTGAAAGCCGTCTTGTGGCGATCTTCTTCTGCGATCGGCAGTTGCCAATATCCCGAGCGGAGATCAATCAGAGATATCTGCTTGGCACCGTGGAGGCTTGAGAAAATTTCTTCCATCTGTGGCATCGGGAATGCATCCTTCACCATCATTCTGTTTAGTTCTCTGAAATCAATACAAAATCGATAGGTTCCGTCGGCCTTTTTCGTCAATAGCACGGGTGATGAATACGGGCTGTGCGTTCGCCTGATGATGCCTTTCGATTCCATCTCGGTTACCTGCTTCTGTATCTCCACCAGGGTGTTCTGTGGAATTCGTCTGAAGATTGGCTTACGTTGTCCTCCTGGGATCAATGGTATTCGATGTTCAACCCAATTGCAAAATCCGTAATCATCTTCCGCGTCTGTGAATAAGTGGGCATACCTGCTCAGTACGTTGCGTATTGCACGGTTCTGACACTCAGGCAAAGCTTTGAGTGCACCAATCCGGTCCGTTCTCTCCTTGTTTATCTCGATCGTATCGTTAGCCACGATCACCACATCGTTTCTCAGGTCGATGGTGACACCGAGCCGTTTCAGGATGTCGGTTCTGAGGATGGTTTCGGTCGTCTCCTCCACGATGAACATGTCATGGCGGATGAGCGTTTCTCCTATCTTGATTCGTAACCGCTGCGTGCCCGTCACTTTCAAAGAATGCCCACCGACCGTCTGCATCGTGATTGAAGATGGGTTTACTGGAACCCCATTGAACCTCTTCGTAATTGACACTGCCGCTCCTGTGTCTACTATGGCTCGGACAGACACACTTTCTATAGTTACCTGGAGGACTGGTACTTGCCACCGACTCGGCATGGATAGAGAGAAACAATGGGGCACATTGACGTTGGTGCAGAATCTCGCCACATGACCACGCTGGTTGCATCGGAAACAGCGGCGACCGTTCCGGATTACCCGTACATTGCGTTGTGAAGCGGTGCTTGAAGACTCTATCGACAACAGCTGCTCCACCATTTCGGATAAGCGCTTTACTTTCTGTTCCAACTCAGCATGCTGGATGCTTCTCACTATCACTCGTTCCGACAAATTCTGGGCGACCGTCACCAGATCCACCGCTTTGCTGTCTCCCATCATCGACGCCAATTTCACCTGATCACGGAGTGGATCGGGCAGCCCCCCCCCCCCCCCCCCCCCCCCCCCCCCCCCCCCCCCCCCCCCCCCCCCCCCCCCCCCCCCCCCCCCCCCCCCCCCCCCCCCCCCCCCCCCCCCCCCCCCCCCCCCCCCCCCCCCCCCCCCCCCCCCCCCCCCCCCCCC